GACATACCTCCCGTGCATGGATCAAATGAAATGTTTGGGAAAGTGTTTTATAAGCAGAAAAACTCTTTGCAGACATGAGTTCTTACAGAAGTTTCAGGGAATTTTGCCTCTAATTAGATGTCACCTTACCATTCCCTGTCAGTTTTTACTTTTGTTTGTACATGTTAAATTAAATCAAATGAATTAGGTCCATCACTCCCTCAAGAAAAGCAGATATGTAGCTATTTAGTTATTTTTTTAAATTCCTGGGTCAGGCGCAGTGGCTCACGCCTGTAATGCCAGCACTTTGGGAGGCTGAGGCAGGTGGATTGCCTGAGCTCAGGAGTTCGAGACCAGCCTGGCCAGCATAGCAGAACCCCATCTCTTCCAAAAATAGAAAAAATTAGTCGGATGGGGTAGTGCGCGCCTGGAGTCCCAGCTACTTGGGTGGCCGAGGGACCAGAATTGCTTGAACCCAGGAGGCGGAGGTTGCAGTGAGCAGAGATCGCACCACTGCACTGCAGCCTGGGTGACAGTGCGAGACTCTCTCTCTCTCTGTCTCTCAAAAAAGAACAAGTTCAGGTAACCAGAGTGAAGGGAAAATAACAGTGGGATAGAAAATTAAAGTGACAAGTTCTGTTAGTACCTGGAATTTATAATGTCCTACGTAATGGCTGGAGATGGGAGAGAGCACGATTCTGAGGTAACTGACAAGAAGGAAGCGTGATTGGCTACAAGAGCCCCTCTCTCTCAAGAATAATCATGTATCAGTCACACTGGGGAAATGCATCTCTTCCCAGCAATGAGGTGGGAAACCCCTTTAGTGGATTATCTCAAAGAGAACATTCTGATGTTTCGAGTAACATGCTCAGCAACATCCCCATGAAGATCTGGGCAGGTGTCTGACGTTGTTTTGCTGTTAGCCTTCAGTAATGCACACTGAGGGCATGGGGCCGGAGCACCAGCGGATGAAGGCAGCTCTCCCAGAGAACACAGCGGTGTGGCCTGCTGTGGCTGGCTTGAGTTAGCCCTCCTGTTGCCAGCATCCAGGATAACAGGCGGGCCGCTGTGCATCACACACTCCTTCATGAATGCCATTTCTCATAAGTGAGCTTTTGGCAGGAGTTGGGCAACAGATAATCCAGAGTTATGTACCAGGCATCAGGAAGAGCTGGTAGGTGTCTGCTGATGCCGAGCGAGGGGAGCAGGCCCGTGTTGTTGGTGCCCTCAGCACCTGGTCCGTGGCAGGCCTGCAGTGAATCTGTGTACAGTGGTTAAATGTCCACATCACATGTAGCGTTGTCCCCCTCTTCCTAAATCCTTGTTCCTCATCTCCACCTGAAGGGAAGCCTGGGCAGTAGCTATTGACTAGGCCAAGGTGCTTCCTTAGGAAAAAAGTCGGACTGTCTTCATATATCAGCCAAACACTTCAACATCCTATGCCTGGAAACCTGGATTTTACCAGTTTAATTAAAAAAAAATTGGGGCTGGGCGTGGTGGTTCATGCTTGTAATCCCGGCACTTTGGGAGGCCGAGGTGGGCAGATCACTGGAGGTTAGGAGTTTGAGACCAGCCTGGCCAACATGGCGAAACCCCATCTCTACTAAAAATACAAAAATTAGCCGGGCGTGGTGGTGGGTGCCTGTAGTCCCAGCTACTTGGGAGGCTGAGGCAAGAGAATCGCTGGAACCCAGGAGGTGGAGGTTGCAGTGAGCCAAGATCATGCCATTGCACTCTAGCCTGGGCGACAAGAGCGAGACTCCAGCTAAAAAAAAAAAAAAAATTAAGTCAGGCATTGCAGGTCAACCCCTATGACATAAGAAGAGCTCAGTAATATGTGCACCTGAAGACTAAAGCTCCTGTTAGTGTTACAGGATAAGTTAGTTGAAAAATGTCAACATTGGTGAGTAAATTATCAGACCTGCTATATAGAATTGTTAGACGTGAACGAATTTACTGCTGGGGATGGCTCCTAATTATGACTTTAGTTTTAGAATAGATGATCAGAGCCATTTTCTTTTCCCTTGAGGCCTTTCTTAGTATTTGACAATAAAACTATTTTAGCAATTTACAGGAAAATACTTACTTGTTCTCTGTAGCATGGGAGCCTGAACTAGGCTCACGCAAAGATGGTTTCAAGTAATTATGATGCAGGTAATGAAAAAGGAGCCAAAATACATCCCTATTTTAATTCTATTCCAAAATTCAATTGATCAAATATTTATTGAGTGTCTACGATGCGCTTTTGGCCCAAGGCTAATTAAGAGGAGACGGTAGTGGCCAAGCGTGATCTCATCTGCCAGGAGGTGGCCGAACCCACATCCTGTTACTGTTGCCCATAGTTAAAGCAGAGGATGGTTCTGATAGAACTATACACGATCTTTTTTCCTTACTTACGGAATTCTCCGCAAAAATGATAAAGTGTGCACACAGTAGCCAACAGTAGACTATCAGGCCCCTAGTAAGCATGTAGATGATGAACACACTGTAAGTCCTGAATTATTATTAAGGAAGTGGAATAGAGTTTCAGTGCCATTTCCAGTTAACCAGTGAATCTTTAATTTGGGGGCAGTGATGGGCGAGTGGGATTCATTGAATATTTTCTTTTTTGAGAGCTAACGTTGAGCTCCCATACATGGTCTGGTGACCAAGCCATAAACTTCCTTAAGAATTTCTTAAACCAGAGCTGTTTGGAGCTGATAAGAAATGTATAGCGGCATTCAGGAGGGGAGCGGCTGGCCCCACCTTGCTGCCACAGCTGGCGCGGTCGCCCCTTCCAGCTCGCTCAGTTACTCCGGACTCGGAGCAAGCGGCCTCCACGCTGTCACACACACGAGGCACTAGAGGCCAGCTGTAGTCCCCACCCGTCTCTTCTTAGAGAATTTCCCTGTGAATAAGGTTGATGAATTAAAAACCAGGAAACAAAAGGTGAATAGTTTTTGGCTGTCATTCCTCTTGACCAGTTTGTCTGGCGTCGCTTTCCTGATCAGCACTCTGCAATGCTTTGCACGGCCCAATGGCTGCTGCTCCTGAGGGAAGTCAGGTTTTTATGGTGTCAGCAGTTTCCAAATGGACTCTGTCAAAATCATCCTTGTCTTGGACACTTTATCCCTAGACTTCTGCTTTACTGTTGGCAGCTTCATAGGCCAAGTACGATTTTATTAGTTCTGCAGCTAGAGACAGATAAGGCCCTGGTGCCCCTGTCCTCAGCAGGCTCACAGCTGAGTGGAAACAGATACAGAATGAAATGGTTCTGATCCTGTATGATAAAGGCGTAATGAAGGGCACACACAAAGTGAAGGGAGCTGGGGAGCATGTGCTGGGTGTGCCCTTGGTCTGGAGGGCACGGGGTTAGCACCATCTCCTGCCGTGAGTCACTGAGGGTGGCGGGAGAGAACCATGCACATGGCAGGCTCCCCAGGGCTGGGATGTGGGTCTCTGGTGGGGATTGTCTGCTGAGTACTGTAGGCGTGCTTTGCACAGGGCAGGATGGAACAAGGCACCTGAGGTCCCTCCTCACTGAGAGAGGTGGTGATTTTGTGGATTCGGTAAGGCAGTCATTATTACACGGTATAGGTTAGGGTGCACTGTGGCAGAAAAATCAACCCTGAAGTCTTTGTGATTTACTGTAACAACAGTTTCTGCCTCACTCACACAAGTTTGATGCGGGTTGGGTGGCTCTTCAGGGCAGCTGAGCTCTGGGAGGTTGCTCTGTGCTCCAGGCTGCATCTGTCTGGTGCTCCACCTTCTCAATGTCCAGCCTCCAGGATCGCCATGGCTGTGCGGCCGAAGGAGAGAGCTGGGGGCTGGCCCATCGCTCTAGAGTGTGTCTCACAGAGGCCTCGGTGGCTCCCACTCACAACCTACTGGCCAGAGCTCCTCAGGGGGCCTCACCTTCCTGCGGAGGCCAGGAGGCGGGGGGTGGGGGGCCCGTAGATTCATCACGATCAGTGTCACTATCCATCTTCCTGTTTTCCCACCTCCACCCCTCGTCCTTTCTGTCTGACGTCCAGGAGTGTTCCAGATCTTAACCACTGTCTTCCCAAACTGGTCACAAGGGCGACAGCACCTTCTAGTGCTGTGGTTTAAGAGCATAGTGTCACCTATTGTTATTGCTTTCAGCCATGGGGGAGTTGGGGGATTTGGGGCAATATACTTAGTCCCTCCTGTGTGAATTTCCTTATTGATGACATGGAGACAATAGTGGTAGTACCCAAACTAAGAAGGTGGTTGTGATGTTTCAGTGAGATAATACGTATGCAGTGGTTAGCACAGTGCCTGATCATGCTCAGGCTCCATGGATTGGTACATTTATCTTAATGCTAGCTGGATGAATTCGAGCATGAGTATAGATTGGCAGACATCCATGGCTGGGATGCTGTGGGAAGCAATGTCAGATGCAGATGCTGCTGCTGGAGAGGCAGTCATGCATGCGAGTAGAGCAGAGGGTGCCGTTGACCTTCTCACAGATGCCATCTCTTCCCATGGGTCAGGGTCTGGCTGCCACTTGCTGCGGGCAGGTCCCTCGGGAAAGGGAGAGGCAAAGAGAGAAGAGCCATTCTGGGCCGAGCAGTGGGCCCCGTGCTAGGAGTCTTTAGCTGGATCCTCCCCACGGGTCCACGGGGAAGGTGGTGGCCCCACCTGCACTTGATACACAAGGAACCTACATCTTAGAGATGTCAAGGCACGTGCCCAGAGGCACACAGCTGGTAAGTGTGCAGCGAGATTGCAAGCTGGCCTTTCTGACTCCAGACCACCCTTGGGCCCAGTTCAGGAGCTCCCAGTGGGAAGTGGCTGCTCCCCGAGTTCCAGGGAGCGATTTCCCCTCTCTGGGAGAGTCTTGAGTTACTGTTGCAATGCTTTCCTGGTCTGTCCTGCTGCCTTGGAGTGCTTTTCCTCCCTCCATTTATCTTCTTTCTGACCGATTTACTGTTTTTCTAACACGTCCTGTTTGGTTGTGTTTATTCTGAAACCAGGCTAACAAGACAGTTGAAGTATTTGTGTTCTGTTTGAAACAACAGGCATGTGAAACTGTTGAATCTCCCTGCCAGCCTCCGGCCACACAAAATGAAGAGCTTGCTGGGCCAGAATGTGTCGACCAAAAGTCCCTTCATCTATTCACCAATTATCGCACACAACCGTGGAGAAGAGCGGAACAAGAAAATAGGTAGGATGTTGATCCTGGCTTTCCCACCGTGCTATGCCACCTGATTTCCAATGGCTTTTCTAGATTTTTAGAACAGAATTTTGGGCCAGTTCATGCATGCGCGTGTGTGCGTGTGTGCGTGTATGTGTGGATGTGTGCACGCATACGTGTGTGTGCATGTGTGCATGCATGCGTGTGTGTGGATGTGTGCATGCGTGCATATGTGTGTATGTGTGCATGTGTGCATGTATGCATGCATGTGTGTGTGTGTGCCTGTGTGCATGCATATGTGCATGCATGCATATGTGTGTTTATGTGTATTTGTGGATGTGCATGTGTGGATGTGTGCACACGTGTGTGTGTGTGTAGTCTGTCATGGAAGTTTATTTGATTTGCTGCTTTTGGCAGGCAGTTGCCCATAGATCTAATTTTTAAAAATGTATTTCATATAAGGTAATTTTGTGAAAGTTCTAGAAACCAGAAAGACTTTTGTTCACTGAGACTTATGTGAACTACAGAAGAGTGACAATTGGAGATGTAGACTGATTTTCCAAGGGCTGAAGTGACTTTTGAATCATCAAAGAAAGATTCAGGGTTGGGTTGTGTTCAGGATTGAGTGGGGGATGAGGTAATTGTGTTCTGTTCTTTTGTGAACACAGGTGATCAGGATAGCCAGTCCTGGGGTTAAGCTGTGCTGTGGGAGAGACTGGGAGTGGACAGTTTCTCCTGAGCTTTCCTGTGTCTGAGCTCTCGTCCCTCCCGCACCAGGGCTCAGCATGCACCGCCGGCCCTGTCCCTTGGTGGCCTTCCCAAAGCCCGGCTGTGGCAGCAAGCTCCCTGTCCCTTGCTGCCACAAGGACACGCCTGAGGCCTCTTGCAGGAGATTGTGATTTCTTGTCACTGGCGACCACTGCTGGTTGAGCCCACATGTCCTGTGACAGAGCCTTGAGGGCCTAGAGGCTGGCCGCTGCTTGGCGACAGCCGGGGCCTCCGAGGAGTATGAGCGGAAGGCCTGCATGACCGTGGTGCTCTGCGTTTGATATACAGTGCTTTCTTCTCCTTCTGTTTCTTTATTTCTGCTCTTAATTCCTTTAACTCCGATTTAGGAAAAAGGCATTCCAACTCCTTTTTCCACCATGCTTTTCTTTCCAGGACAGAGGCTTCCTCTTGCACTCGCAAGCTCACCCACACCCCGAGTTACGGACTGCAGGCGCTTCCCGACCCCGCCCTGCCCACACCCTTCCCTCTCTGTCGGGTTTCTCATGCCGCCTCCTGCCACCATCACTCTGGTTTAGCCACAGCCACTCCTTTCGGGTCTTGGAAAGAAACAGGCTTGTTCCAGGCCCAGGGCTTTGGGGCTCACTCTTTCCTCTGCCAGGAACTCGTCCCCTGCCCTTCTGTCATTGTTGTCACACCCTTTTGGTCTCTGTTCACATGCCCCCTCCCTCAGAGGGGCGTTTTCTGATCCCAGCGCCTCGCAGGCCACTCCTCCCGCCATCTCTAGCGGCACTGTCTGCGGTTCTCTTCCCGGCCTTTCTCCAGCCCAGATCCACACTGGCCCGGGATTCTCTTCCCCACCTTTCTCCAGCCCAGATCCACACTGGCCCATTGATGCTTTGCCCCGCAGTATCACCTGAAGCCAGAATTCTGTCAGGCTGTGTGCGGCTGCTGTCTCCCCAGCCGCTGGAGCAGTGACAGAAGAATGAATGAATGGATGGGGTACCTATTATGAATCCCTTTTTATAGATTTTGTAGACAGGGAAACTGATTCAGGACGTTTAAGTGTCTTGTCCAAGAACTCACAGGGGAACCTAGATCTCACTGTACGTTTCGTGTTGCTGGCAGGGCATGGCAGAATTCAAGGCAGAAGGGACAATAAGAAGAGCATTACATGTAGCACATAATCTTTTTTTTTTTTTTTTTTCTGAGACGGGGTCTAGCTCTGTCATCCAGGCTGGAGTGCAGTGGTGTAATTAGGGCTCACTGCTGCCTCAACCTCCTGGGCTCAATTGATCCTCCTGCCTCAGCCTCCTGAGCTGGGATCACAGGTGCACACTACCATACCCACTCATTTTTGTATTTTTTGTAGAGACGGGGTTTCACCATGTTGCCCAGGCTGGTCTCGAACTCCTGGGGTCAAGTGAATCGCCTGCCTCGGCCTCCTAGAGAGCTGGGGTTATAGGTGGGGACCTCTGTGTCCAGCCAGCACATTGTCTTGATGAGCATTTCTCGTATATTACTAGCTCTGGGATTTCTTAGCTTCTGTAAGGGTCTCACGATAAACTCCATTAACTATTTGTAAATTATCTGAATGCCTTAAAAAATAAAGTGCTTCAGAAGAAATAAAGTTGTTTGCTAAGATAAAGGGCATAACTAGGGAGGGAGTACTCAAAGAACCTTGTGCTTTTAAAAATGGTCCTCATTTCTTTTATTCAAACGGTGCTATCATACGTTGAGGCTATCATATGTTGCCTTACGGAGTTTCCAGTAGTTTTGGAAGATTTCATTTTTATCTCCCTTTTACAGATGAGGAAACAAACTCAGAGAAATGACTTTTAGAAGTAACTGAAAGTTACTCAGTTAGTTAGTGACAAGCTTGATTTCACATCACAGACCAAGTGTCCTGTTCCTGTGAGCCCCCTCTGGTTTCCTCTCACGTGCATAGAGGGTGTGGGAGAGACCTGCTACCTGGACCCCACAGTCATGCAGTTCATGCAGGCAAGACACAGACATGAGAAGCTGACTATCGAGACTAAAGGTGAACAAAAGGTCTCTAAAAATGTACACCTGTCAGCAGGGTACCTGGTTACTTACACATTGAACTTGAATGAACAATAAACACTGGGCTAACTGGGAGTGGGGTGTGGGGTGGGGCCCCGCACACCCTGGGGAAGCCCCCTGGAGGCTCAGACGCAGCCTCCCTCGGAGGAGCCGTGTGGGCTTTGCAAGGAGCAGCTCCAGCTGTTCTAGCTGTTCATTGTTAGAATGAGAAGAAAATAAAGAGACCTGGGGTCATGCCCTTGAAAAAGTGCAGCCAATTCTGAATTTCGGAAAATTTATGAAAACCTGAGTGCTAACTATATAGTCTACTGTAGAATTTGTGTGTATGCATGTGTGTGTGTGTGTGTGTATGTGTATGCGTGTATGTGTGTATGCATGTATGTGTGTATGCATGTGTGTATGTGTTTATGCATGTATGTGTGCATGTGTGTGTGTATTGTGCATATGCGTGTGTGTATTGTGTGTATGCCTGTGTGTATGAGTGTGTGTATGCATGTGTGTGTGTGTGTGTATGCATTTTTAAAATGCCATTTTTAGTCTATTGATTCTGAAGGACACCCCAACCTTGTCTTTCCTGCCACTGCTTCTCTGCTCTGGAGAACACGAGGTGACAGGAAGCGTAGGCACTGGGTGGATGTGGTGCATGAACGGGCAGGGCCTGATGGCGGCCCCATATGATATGCTCCAACATGTGTTGCAGTAAGCAGGAGAGAGCTGTACAAATCCCGTCCTCGCTGTGTTTTGGGGACGTTGTTTCCTGGCCTCTTGAGGGAACTCCACCTTTCCTCTCTGGAGGGCATCTTCTGAGCTCTGTGGGGATGGGCGGGCCACCCTCAGGGCTCCTCTGTCTCCCCTGGCCCAGGACTCGCTGTCCTATGAGTGCTGAGGCTCTTCCCCCGGGACCTTCTAGAGTCTCTGGCTGCTCTTTTCTGTTCTCATCAGGGTTGGTGATGAGCTATCTCCCCTACAGAACTTTTGAGGAAAGCTTCAGTCCTTTTGTTGAGAAAAACTTCTAGAGGTGATTTAGGAGACTGGAAGTGTGAGACTCCCCTTCTCGGGATGGGCCATATGATTTGTAGGGCCTAGTGCAAAATGCAAACACAGGGCCTTTGTTCAAACATCGCTGAGAATTTGAAGACAATAACAGCAGAGCGTCAAACCAGATGCCAGAGCACAGGGCCCTGTGCCACTGATGGCATGGATTGCAAGCCCTGCCTCTCTGCTTTTCCTTTTCAATCTTAAGAAGTTGTTGGCTGAGTGTGGTGGCCCACGCCTGTAATCCCAGCACTTTGGGAGGCTGAGGCAGGTGGATTGCTTGAGCCCAGGAGTTCGAGACTAGCCTGGTCAACATGGCAAAACCCCATCTCTATACAGAATACGAAAAATTAGCCAGGCCTGGTGGCGGGCACCTGTGGTCCCAGCTACTTGGGAGGCTGAGGTGGGAGAATCACCTGAGCCCAGGAGATTGAGGCTATAGTGAGCCAAGACTGCACCACTGCACTCCAGCCTGGGTGACAGAGCAAGACCCTATCTCAAAAAACAAATAAAAAGACATTGTCGAGCATTCTTTTTAAGAAAATTACAGTCTGTATTTGTTGAAGAGGGCTTAAGCAAACATCATCCAGTGATTCTCAAAACTTTTGATGCTGATGCTGCAGGTGTCATTATATTCCCTATTTGCAGATGAGAAAATTAAGACTGAACGAATGTAAGTACCTGCTCCAGGTCAGACAGTTTGTCAGTGGCAGCCCCCAGGCGCCATGCCAGGTTGCAGGACTCGATGCCCAGGGCCTTTTCCCTTTATAATATGGCTTCTCACTGTAGTAAGAAGTACCTGCTCATCTGGGCTGAGGACGAATTCAGTGGATGATGTAGGATTTTTTTTCTGAGCTATAACACTTGTGTGGTAGGAAAGTGTAATTGACATCCCATAGCTTCTAATATCTTTTTGGCAGTGTACTGATCAGTGAGTGCTTGCCCAGAGGCTTGACAGATCCCATAACTTTAACCTAAAGTTCCAGTGTCTCTCAATGAACCTTGGTGTATAATTGGGGGAGGTATCATCACAGCAGGGGGCATCGGGTCTTAGAGATGAGGAAACTCTTGAGGGCAGCGTTTGAGACCATTTTCCACTTTCACTCGGAATAATTCCCGAGTCTGTTGGCTGTGTGTGTTGGCTGGTGTGGCCATCATCTGAGCTACATCCATGCGAAGATGGCTGCAACACTGGCCTCAGCTTGAGTGTGTTGGCTTGAAGGCCTTCTGTCATTTGTGATAGGTCTTTGTGGTGCTGCCAGGCTTGGTGCCAAGGTCCACTGCTGACCCAGAGGCAGTGTGGTGGCCTGGAGAGGCTGTGGCTGTCAGGTGGACTTGGGCTGCAGCCTGGCCCTGCAGCTCCCCACTGTGTGGCTGTGGACAACTGATCACGCCTGTGTGGTCTGCAGTCATGCCCTCTATGGAATAGGGACATTAGAAGCTGACACGGAGGGTGGTTCTGAGGATCAAGGGAGATAATGTTTCTAAAGTCCCTGGCAGCGATTCAGTAACATTTTTGGTAGCAGTTACATGCCCTGTGCTATGTGCCGGGGATGCATTGATAAATCAGGAGTCTTTCCCGCCATGTGGGTCCATACAGTGTAGCAGAAAGAGACGAACTTGTCAATAAACGCCACCACCCGATGCTGTGTGTCCACAGATGACAGCAGGCACAGTGTGTCCCACAATAGGGAGGGCAGGGCCTGAGACGAGGGCGTTTCAGAGACACTAATTCTTGTGCCTTCCCACTACTTCTGGGACAAAATAGTGAGGAAGGGCCACCACCGTGTGCTTTGACATGCTGAGGGTGGAAAGGGGTTATCTCCTTCTTTCAGCGAAAATCACTTTAGGCCGGGTGTGGTGGCTCATGCCTGTAATTCCAGTACTCCGGGAGGCCAAGGTAGGGGGATTAGTTGAGGTGAGGAGTTTGAGACCAGCCTGGTCAACATGGCGAAACCCTGTCTCTACTAAAAATACAAAAAAAAATTAGCCAGGCATGGTGGTGCACACCTGTAGTCCCAGCTACTTTGGAGGCTGAGGCAGGAGACTTGCTTGAACCCGGGAGGTGGAAGTTGCAGTAAGCCGAGATCACACCACTGCATTCCAACCTGGGTACAGAGTGATACTCCGTCTCAAAAGAAAAAAAAAAAGAAAAAAAATAAATTTTTATGTAATCAACGATTTATCTTAGATTTACCCTTTAGTAGACATGGACCATCTAAGTAAACATTGTTTTTTCAGTACCCCAGAAAGTGATTTTTTAAATGGCTTATTATCATCATCATCATCATCATGACCATGATAGGGCAAGCAATTTCTTAATTGCCAGGCATTAGCCACTTGTTTAAAGAGAGTGACCTTCTTCATTTGTGGTGAGGAGTGGGCCGGGATGCTGACCATCAGTGGCCCCGGGCAGGCTGGGTGAGGCCGGGGGCAGGTGGCGTGGGAGCATGTTGTGCTCTGGCCACTGACTTATATGAATGAGGAGGGCGGATGAGCCCCCCGCCACTGAAGGTCCTCAAAAGCTGGTGGGCCTAGAAAGTGGGAGGCATGGAAGCTGGCATGAGCTGGGATGACATGGAAGCTGGAAGGACAAGACCTGAGTTTCCGGAGTCCTGAGAGGTGAAACAGTAGGGTGAAAAGAGCGTAGGTTTTGGAGCCAGACAGACTGGAGTTCGATTCTCAGTTCTCTTGCTTCCCAGGACCATAGGACGGGCAGGCGGGTCAGCCTGTCAGGGGGATTCTCCTTTTTTGCAGAATGGGCAAAACATTTGTGTTGCTGACATAGACTGTAGCCATTCACTGCATTGTCCAGAGGCTCAGATGAGTACATGGTGGTGCAAGCATTAGGGGAGCTGTTAGCTTACCAGGTGGATGCTGTATTAATTCATGCAATGTCAACATGCCAGCTCTGGGTCAGATGTCATAGGTGTGGTGGAGTCAGTCCTCATCTCTTTGCAGGGTGCTTGGTGCAGAGTGTGTGGAAAAAGCTGTGTCTTGAGAACATGCTTATGAAAGCTCTGTGAAAGTTGAATAATTCCGGTCAACAGACTTTCTTACTGCTAGAGAAAAAGCCCTCCACCGCCCTGTTAGCCACACACGTCTGCTTGGGATGCCTCTGAGTTCAGAGGCCTGAATCCAGCAGCTTCTCTCGCTTGCTGTGTGGTTCCTGGGCCAATTTATTACCCTGTTTGGACCTTGAGTGTTTGCCTTGCAGTGATAGGGGTTATCATACCTGTCTCAGGAGGTCCTCATGCTGAGTAATGAGATAACTTGTGTGGAAGCGCCTCACACCTAACACATGCCTGCCACCTGTTGATTGATTCTGAAATTCCTTCGGGTTTGCCTAAGAGAGGATTGTAAAGGGAGGAGGGGTTGATGGAAATTGGGACAGATGCTGAATTAGCTTTCTGTTGCTTTGTAACAAATGACCACAGACTCAGTAGCTTAAAACAACACAAATCTACTTCCTCATGATTTGTGTGGGCTTCGGCTGGGTCCTCTGCTCAGGGATTCACAGGACTGAAATCCAAGTGTCATCTGGGACTGTGTCCTCATCTGGAGGCTCAACTAAGGGAAGGGCCTGCTTTCACGACTCCTCAGGTGGTTCTTCATTCATTTCCCGTGGTCCCCGTTGTCTCGCCGGCTGTCTGCTGGTGCTGCTCTCAGTTCCCCGCTGTCTGCTGGTGCTGCTTTCAGCTCCTAGAGACTGCTCTTAGGCCCTTGCCATGTGGTCCCCTCCACAGGCCCTCTAGGAAAGGCCGTGGTCTCCTGTGAGGTCTCACCTGATTAGAACAAGTCCGTCCAGGACAACCTTCCTTTTGATTAACTCAGAGTCAACTGATTGGGGTCCCAATCACATCTGTAAAATCTTTCCACCTTTGTTTTACAATCCAGCCTAATCATATTCACACTGAAAGTGGGGTTACACCGTGCATGCACAACAGGTTGTGCACACCAAGGCTGGGGGTTTTGGAGGTCATCAGAATTCTGCCCCTGCACAGGTACTGAACTGCAGTTGACTTGGGAGTGGGTGGGGAGGAGAAGCCCCCCGCCTCCCCACAATCTTCGGGGAGTAGAGCAAATCACACTCCGTATTACTCACAAGTGACCCCAGTACCATCTTCCTGTGTTGCCAGCCTCTGGGCCCCGTGAAGCGCGGTGTGCCTTATGGCTCTGTACCAAGAACAGTGCCATCTGGACAGATGCTGGCATGAATGCAGCCCGCTGAAGGTGGCGACAAGCGCCATTCATGTGGCATCAAAGCGCCAGTGATGGCTGCCTTGCTTTGTTTCAGAGAAAGCCGGTGGAAAAAGCAGCTTTGACTCACCCATCTCAAGATGATCATAGAGCCTGCTGCCTCGTTGAGAATATAAATTGCCAGAGGAATAATTGGAAACCATGTAGAAAGTGAAAAAATGCCAACAAATACATGGATTTGTTGATGTGTGTGTGTGTATTTTCTAGATTTCCAGTGGGTTCAAGGAGATGTGTGTGAAGTTCAGCTGATGGTGTATAACCCAATGCCGTTTGAACTTCGGGTTGAAAACATGGTATGTATCACCCATCATTTGATCTTTTTGGGCTAACACACAAACTTCTCATTAAAGCAGGTTTTTACTTAATGTCTGAGGCACACATCTTATGATATGTGTCTCTTTTTATGTTTGTTTTGCCAAAGCATATAAGCTTATTGTGAATGAAGACCATGTTTCGTTATTCCTGTGTCTTTAGGCTTGATTCTCAATACATATTTGAACCTACAAAGAAACCTCTGATTTGAACACATACCGAGCTTAGCTGATTGGGTATAAGATGTGAAATAATCATTTTGAAGCTTACATGAGATGAGTTGAGGTTGCAAAGTCCACGTTATGCCTGTTACTCAATGATATCAGCATTATTTTATCGCTGCAAGATGATAAGATGATCAAGGCCCCGGGGAAGAACAAGCTGTGGAATGGGAGGATAAATGACCACACCACCATCATCAGCTTTCTCTTGTTTTGAAATCCTGATATCCCGTTTCTATGCTTTGTGTAGGGTGTGAAAGATTCACTTTGTAATCTCTTCTGTTGGAAATGCTTACCCAATTCTCTAGTCAGGGGGAAGGAGATTTGTACTGGCCCTCTAAGCTGATTCTATGTTTTCAGAACAGACCCTCCCCACGCCAATGTAGGTTGCATCCCTGGAGTCTTCTCTGCCTTGCTGTGTGGTGCTGCTGTGTAACTTTTCAGCAGCACGCCAAGGATGGTGCTGCGAGAGTGGACGTTGTCTTTTAGGCTTTTATGACTGGTGTTCAGGGTAAGAGGCAGACTCTTCGTGCAGGTATTTTGCTGAGTGCTCTTGCCACGCATCAGGCCCCAGGCAAGGCCCTGAGGGGACAGAGATGGTCAGGCCCTGGTCCCTGCTGCGACTGTGATCAAGGCTCTGTTGGGGTACACGAGGTGTTGCAGGCCTGATGTGGAGGGGAGTCTCCCTGGCCCTGGAGAGTCAGGGAAGGGTTCCTGGGACAGATGTGACAGCCTGGCCATGAGTACAGGCTGAGTTGCAGCTTGGAACTCCTGGAAGCTCCTGGAGGCTCAGCTGGATGTTCAGCTTGTAGTCTTGAGGTGCACTTGGGAGGAGTGCTTCTCCTTCCATTGGGTGAGGACTGACCTGCAGTACGATTTGGCTTAGGCCTTTCCTGTGGCTTTCTGTGTCAGCCTTAGTAGGGAGAAGCAGTTTAGAGAATTTTCCCCAAAGTGGTTAAAGTATCAAATGCCTGCTGCTCTTTCTTACACATTTTTTTTTTTTTTTGGTCTTAAAATGTAGCTTTCATTTTTATCTGGTTTAAAAACAATATGTGCTTATTATAACAAATGAGGAAGAGCAGGGAATAAAATAAAAAGCACCACATGGAGATAGCCCACAACTCATGGGCAAAGTTTTAAAAATTAAATTAGGAAGTATTTTAAACATACCAAATGTTACAGGGAATACTACACACGCGCATATCCACCATTCACATTTAAAAAATGTTCACAGTTGGCCATATTGCTTTAGCTATTTTCAAAGGAAATAAATGCCAATATATTTGCCTAGAGACAATTGGCTCCTCGGCTTCCACCCTTGCCTGCTACATCTGTTCCACACATAGATCATTTCACACCTTGGCTCCAAGTCCAGGCACTAAGTGTACTCACTGCCGAGAGAGTGGCTTTGCTTCTGGATGCTTTCTGTAGACAGAGTTAGGAAAAGTCTGTATGCATATACACATACATGAGAACGCACATATCTAAGCCCATATGCCTACATATATGTACACATGTGTATATCCCTGCGTCTGCACCACAGACATGCATGTAGCATCTGCCCTTGCTTTCCAGCGCTTCTCCAGAGGGTGCTTGCCTTCCTCCGTCCACGTGTGTCATTTCTTCCCGAGTGAGACTCGGACTCCCAGCATCAGCACATCTACTCAGATGCTCAGTCCTGTCCTATCTGAGAGTGTTGCAGGGTAGCTTTGACCATACCGCTGCAGAAAACCAACCCGCTAAGAAGAATCCAGGATTTCCTCCTTCGCCCAGGGCTTCTTTATCTCTGCAGTGCTCTGTAACTGTTGTGAGACCTTGCCCGTCATTTGTTAGGTTTTTTCTAATATAGTTGATGGTTTTGATCGCTTGTTAATGATATTTTCCCCAATTGTTTATTGCTAAACTATAGAAATAACTCCTTTTTTTTTTTTTTCTGACTGTATCACTTTGCTAAATGTACTAGAAAGTTCAAGTTTCATTGTAGATTCCTTAGCGTATTCTATGACCCTGGTTTTGTTTTCTGTGAGTAATTGCCTTTATGCCTTTTCTTCCTTTTTCTTGCTTTAGTGCCCTGAGTAGGACCTCTATTACAATGCTGAGAAGTCCCGAGGGCCGACATACCTGCATTGCTTCCAATCATGGGCCACCGTCTTGAGGCCAGGGAATCTGCCCGTCTTGTTCACTAGCAAGCTTAGTGCCTGCACTAGCAAGCTTAGTACATACTGAAATAAGTTGATAACTCATAGATGTATGGCAGGGATATTAACTCGTGGCATATTTCCACATTGTATTGATGGATTGATTGAGATAGAATCTCACTTTGTCCCCCACGCTGGAGTGCAGTGGTGTGATCATTGCAACCTCAGCCTCCTGGGCTCGGGTGATCATCCCACCTCAGTCTCCCAAGTAGCTGGGGCCACAGGTGCGTGCCACCTTCCCCGGGTAATTTTAAAATTTTTTTGTAGAGATGGGGTCTCACTATGTTGCCCAGGTTGGTCTTGAACTCCTGGACTCAAGTGTTCTTTCCACCTTGGCCTCCCAAGTGTTGGGATTACAGGCGTGAGCCACCATGCCCAGTCAAGTTTTTATTTATTTTTGTTTATAAATAAAATATTTTCTCTTTGTGTTCACATTCCCATTTGGTAAAATGATAAAACAAATATCAAACATACAGCAAACAGGGCTAAAACCAAGTGGCTCTGTGGTTTATCGCCTGAGCACCCGCCGTGCCTACCGTGTTTAGGTGGTTTTGCGTTACACTGTTCACTGTCTCTGAAGTTCTCTGTGGGTTTCTATAAAGACTGTTGGTCATTTTCTTCCAGCAGTTCCAGATGTGCCATATTTGGCACATTTGGAACTGAGCGCACAGTAGGTTTGGTCCGGGCTCATGATGCCGCGTGGCTCGTTTTAGGGGCTGCTCACCAGCGGAGTGGAGTTTGAGTCTCTCCCTGCGGCGCTTTCTCTTCCGGCTGAATCTGGTCTGTACCCAGTGACACTCGTCGGGGTCCCGCAGACAACTGGAACGATCACTGTGAACGGTAAGGAGAGTCCCTTCATGGTTCCCGCTCAGGAGGGTCTGCTGCACCCTTGCATGGCCTCCGTGAGGTCCAGAGCCGATCGCCCGTCCTGCCAGTCCTAACCAGTTAGAAAATGAAGACCGTGTTTCTTCAGGAAGCATGAAAAAAACCTGTTCGTGAGGTGCAGGATGTGTGGTGGTGGGAGGGGTCCTTCCTGTGCTCTGACCCTACTGCCCACGCCCTTCCTCCCTCTGCTTCCTCTCCCTCCAGTGAGCCTTCCTTCTTCCTGCTCCTTCTCGCCGGAACTCCTCAGAGGGTGTCTACACACGCTGAATCTCCGCCTCTGCAGGGGCCTTTAACCCTCTGCATCCTGGACTCAGCCCTTTTCACTTCACCAAAACTCCTGTCACAAGCAGTATTTTTTTGGGCTAAATCCAGGGCCTACTTTTCAGGTTTTTTTCCCTAAATTCGCTCCTCAGTGCCCTTTGAGTCCCTGGCTGACCCTCTCCTCTGGCTGCTGTGAGCCCGCCCTCTGGATGCTTTACCGCCTCTCTGCTCTGGCTGCTGTGGCCCTGCCCCTCCGGATGTTTTACCGCCTCTCTGGCCTTTCTTTTTGGGTCTCTCTTGTCTTCTGCAGCCCACCCCTCTCAGCCAGGCCTTCCTCACACCCCACTTCTTTCCTTCCCCACCCCTCATCCTGTGTTCCCTGGCCCTGTTAACTCTTTCTCTTCCACAGGCTACCTTAGGTGATCCCACCAATGCCCTTGACCTTCTTGTCTTCCAGTTCCTCCAATGTGCAGATGATTTCCAGGGCTGGGCGTTTTCCCAGCCTGCACCTCCAGCCCTTCCCAGCTGGCTCCTGGGCACCTCTCATACCATAGGTGTAAACCAGAACTCCCTACCTCGCCTCCCCAAAGCTGCCCCTGCCCCCGTCAAGCCTCCATCTCAGCGCAGGCATCCCCATCACCCGTATGCGTCATCCTCGACCCTCGCTGTCAGTCACAGCACCCCCACGTCCCCTCCCTCAGTGCTTCCTGAGAACTGCCACTTGTCTCCACCTCCACTGCCCCTTCCTGTCTTGCAGATCATAACTCTTCTAGGGTTTGTCAGAAAAGCATTGGGGCTGGTGTTTTTGCCCTGGTCTTGCTTGCTAATAGACCCACTTCCCATCTGTGGCCCAGCAATCTTCCTAGTGGGAATCTGCTCCTGACATCTCTCAGCTGGGAGCCTCGCAGCTGTGGCCAGGCCCGTGTTATCAAGGCCTGGTCTTTAAGTGTAGCTCTGGAGCCCATTGTGGTCCGGCGCCTGCTGGCCTCCGCAACCTCCTCTCTGCCCCTCTGCTCCTACTTCAGTCTCTGAAGACTCTTTAGTTCTGGCAGTTTTCCAGGCTTTCTGAGGCTTTACCTGTGCCGCATTGAGTGCTCCTCACCCTGGCTGGCTCCTGGGCTTCCCTCAGTCCTCAGCACAGGCTTCCCTTCCTTCGGGAGCCTTCCTCGGTGTGTGCTCGCTGGTCTAGGCCCCTGGTCGGTGGTCTCCTTCCTGACTCTGTGTGATAGATTCCTTGCTGGCCCCGTGTGTCTGGCTCAGCTGCAGCTCCATGCCTAGTGTGGAGCCTGGCACACAGTAGGTCTTCAGTGTGTGTTTGTTGGCTGGAAGAGCAAACATTTGCTGGAAGGGTGCTCCCTACGGGTGGGTGAAGCAGGTGTCATTGTAGGTGAGGGTGTGCTGCCCCAAGTGGGAAGATGGAGTGGAGTGGCCGTGGGAGCAAATGACTCTGGGCATGGACCCAGTGGGGAGAGTGAGTTGGTCAGTGACCCTGAGGCTTGAAGGCGAACTAGGAACTATTCAAATGAATGGGGCTGGGCTGTGGGGGGAGTACACAGGGGGCAGAAAGAGAATTCCAGGCAGAAAGAACACCGTGGTGGTAAGAGAGAACATGGTGCATTTGGGGGACTGGGGGATGGTCAGAGTGGGTGGTCCAGGCCAGGGTGGCAGGGATGAGACAGGCTGGAAGGGAGGCAGAGTGCCGACCTGGGGTCTTACACCCTGTGCCAAAGGATGCCGGCTTTCTCCGGAGGGCAGTGGGGCTGCTGTGTTCTTGAAGAGAGATGTGGTCGGGTGGGCCGTTCAGAGCCATCCTCAGGATCCAGGACCCCTGTTGAGATGGGAAGGACTGGAGGCAGGGACACCAGTGATCAAGCTTCAGCGATGACCCAGGAAGAAAGGGACAGAGGCAGGACCATAGCCATGGCCTGGCAGTGGAGCATAGGAGATATGAATAGATGAGAGAGGAGTAATGAGGAGTGAAGGGCTTAATTCCGAATAACATGTAACCCGTAGCTAGTATGTTCACAGATGAGAAGTCAGAGCCTTAGTCACACAGTTCTTAGTTGTTTATCCTGGGTCCACACTAGGGAGTGTTCATTTTTGGCCCGCTTTGGGAACCAAGTTGAAAGGACTGACCTCGTATTATCAGACGTTGTAATGTACTATTTGTCATCAGACTTTTGGGTTTGTATGGCAGTTATTTTAAGCAACGGGTAAGAAAAGGAAAATGGTTTAAATTAAGAATTGCAAAACAATGGCTGCTTAGCAGACAAAACCACGTCATACCAGGTATTATAGAAAGGACATTAGTGCCAGATGTGGTTCTGGGGAGGAGAATGTTTGCCAGTTAAAGATGTCTTTGAAGAGGTATACTTTAGAGAAAGTGTGGCTGCTCTGAATGGGAGTTACGTTGATAGGGCAGCTTCAGGCTGGCAGGAGGTGAGCGCAGGGCTGATTGAGGCTGTGTAAGGTCCCTGATTTGCCCTTGAGGGAGTGCCTGCCTCTCCTTTTAGTGTGGAATAGTTTCGTGTGAATGCAAAAATGTTGTGACCCTAGGCATCTAGCCACGGGGTATTGTTTAATTTTGTTATAGAGTGAATGTTGTTTATAGTAATTATCTTGTGAAATTTCAAAAGCCATTTTAAAGCTTTGCTTAAACAATTTCAAGTGCTTATCTAACCAGTGAACTTTTTTTTTTTTTAACATGGGAAATTTGCTAATCTTAAATTATGGTGCTTATACACATACAGCACATCTGCCGTTATCAGCAGCAGCTACAATAACATTTGGCTCGTGAACTTTCATCTTTCAACAGAAGGGTTTGAAACATTTTTCAAATACTCATTAAGTCACATTATGTCCTGGGAAATAATAGTAACGTTCTCGTTTTAGAGATGGATAAATCTGAAAAGCAAATGAGTAAAGGGATGAGATACTGATTATTAAGGAGACATTTATGGTTTACAAGGACCTTCACTTATATAGTCTTTCATTTGGACCCAGGCCAGCCTTGTGAAACAGGAATGCAGATGCTGTTATCCTCCCCATCACCTACAAGGCCAGTGACGGTCGCGGGGTTGAGGGCCGGAGTGTGGGTGAGCGCCGGCGGGCCCTGGGCAACTGCAGAACTCAGGTCTTCTGAGGAGGAGCCTCGTGCTCTTCGCACTGCTTCGGCCGTGGGTGTGAGACCCAAAGCCTTGCCAGTGGAGTGAAGATGCTCATTTTCTGTTCCAGGTTACCATACCACGGTCTTCGGCGTGTTCAGTGACTGTTTGCTGGATAACCTACCGGGAATAAAAACCAGTGGCTCCACAGTCGAAGTCATTCCCGCTTTGCCAAGACTACAGATCAGCACCTCTCTGCCCAGGTAGTGTGTACGAGGGTCACAGACCAGAGTGGCTCTGAGGCATCATTGGTTTTTTTTGGTCCTCTCTCTCTCTCTCTCTCTCTCTATATATATATATATATATTTTAATGGCACAAAGAGCCTGTAATTCTTATGACTAGAATATAGGTGAAGGATTTATTTAAGATAAGCAACATCAATATGCTTTGCTTAAAACGAATTAGAACAAACTTAAAATCTTTCTTACCATGATCAGAACAGAATGTGAAATTAGCCTTGGAATCATAATTCTTTTGAAAAACGAAATTAGGGAATTTAGGAATTCCCTTAAAAATATAGGGAATTTTGGCCGGGCGTGGTGGCTCACGCCTGTAATCCCAGCATTTTGGGAGGCCAAGGCGGGTGGATCATGAGGTCAGGAGATCGAGACCATCCTGGCTAACACGGTGAAACCACATCTGTACTAAAAAAAAAAAAAAAAAAATTAGCTGGGTGTGGTGGCAGGCACCAGTAGTCCCAGCTACTCGGGAGGCTGAGGCAGAAGAATGGCGTGAACATGGGAGGCAGAGCTTGCAGTGAGCCGAGATCGTGCCACTGCACTCCAGCCTGGGTGACAGAGCGAGACTCCATCTCAAAAAAAAAAATAAGGGAGGGGGGGAAATTTTAATTAAACTTTTATATTATATTATATTTTAATTAATTAATTTTTTGAGACAGAGTCCCACTCTGTTGCCCAGGCTGGAGTACAGTGTTGTGATCTCGGCTCACTGCAACCTCCACCTCCCAGGTTCAAGTGATCCTCTCACCTCAGCCTCCTGAGTAGCTGGGACTACAAGTTCCCACCACTATGTCTGGCTAATTTTTGTATTTTTTGTGGAGATGGGGTTTCACCATGTTGCCCAGGCTGGTCTCGAACTCCTGGGTTCAAACAATCCACCCATCTTAGCCTCCTAAAGTGCTGGGATTATAGGTGTGAGCCACCGTGCTCAGCCAACTCTTATCTTCTAAGAAATAGTTTTGATCTTATTTGTTTTTTAGCATTATAGGAAAACATAAAGAAGAAAGAAAAAGAAATCTCATGAGTCCCAGAAGCAATTAGTATAAATGATTTGTTGTGATATTTCCTTCCAGTGTTTTATCCATCCTATTTAAAAATAAGTATTTGAATAGTTGAGATTACATGACATCATATATAGTATTATAGGTTGCTTTTTGCATAACCACATAATGTAAGCTTTTCTTCATGCTTTTACAAATTCTGGAGAAAATCCAATTTTAATTGCTTCAACAAAGTGTATCATAAAGATATCTCAAAATTGCATACCCATCAATTTCCTTGCCATTGGAATTTGGGATGTTCTCTGTTTTTTTTTTTTTTGACAGATCCTTGCTCTGTTGCCCAGGCTGGAGTGCCGTGGCACAATCTTAGCTCATTGCAGCCTCCACCTCCTAGGTTCAAGCAATTTTCCTGCCTCAGCCTCCAGAGTAGCTGGGATTACAGGTACCCGCCATCATGCCCAGCTAATTTTTGTGTTTTTAGTAGAGACGGGGCTTTGCCACATTGGCCAGGCTGGTCTCAAACTCCTGATCTCAAGTGATCTGCCTGCCTCCGCCTCCCAAAGTGCTGGGATTACAGGCACGAGCTACCACGCCCAGCCTGTTCTTAATTTTTGCACTTACGAATAACACTTAACGGTTACCCTTTTGTCCATTTTTATAAAATGTGTCTTGGGATTTTCTGAAATGTTTTTAAATCCCATTCATGTGTTTAATAGGCACTTTCATTTGCCAGTTGCTGTGCTGGGTGCTAGGGCTGTAGCAGTGATCATGACAGTCCTGGTGTCTGTCCTCACGGGAAGTTCTGTCACGTGGGGAAATTGACAAGTCGTGGAGTAATCACAGTGCACTGTCCTCAGGACTCTGATGGGGGAGGTCCCACGTGCTGGGGGAGGTCACGGACTCAGGGAAGAGTTCTTCCAGGAGGCAACACCAAGCTCAATGTGGGGGAGGGGAACTGGCCAGGTACAGGGGCAGGCAGGGCGGTCTTCTGACGGAGGAAGGAGAGGTGGAGACACTGACGTATAATCGGGGAATAAAATGAAACACAGACAACATTTACTGGAAAGGGATCATAGACCTGAGTGTAAAAGCTGAAAGTATATTAACTTCTAGAAGAAAAAAAATAAAAGGACAATTATCATGACCATGAAATGGGGCCAGAGTGTTCTTTGTGTGACACCAAAAAGGAGGGTCCCTGGAAGAAAACGTTTGCAGATTGGACTCGCGAATTAGAAAGCGTACGGCCAGAGAAGACACCATTAAGAGAATGAAAGTACGCAGACTGGGAAGAAAATATTTGCATATTAAATATGCTTGATAAAAGAGCTTATATTCACATTAAGAACTCTTAAAACTTAATAAAATGAATGTACAACCTAGATTTTAACAATGGACAAGAAAATGAGGTAGCTGTTTCAAGCCACAGAGGTTATACAAAATAGCTCGTAAGTAAATGGAAGGATGGTTTGACATCTTTAGTCTCTGAACTGGCACCCACCGTGAAGGCTCCAGTTCACACACTGGAGGCTCAGGGGGCTTCCACGAGAGCAGAGCTGGCAAGGTTTCGGAGATGCTGGACGCCTCATGCGAGGCTGAAATATGGGATGCTGAAA